AATACATCAGTAAAAACACTCCCCTGATTTAGTAACAGAGGGGAGCACAGGCCTGGCCTGGCTGGAGGGTTTAACAATAATCATACCTTGCTCATCCATACACGTGAAAGTGCTTTACGCAGGAGGGAAACAGATGGGGAAACTGAGGCACAGGAAGGTGGGAATATCACTGGCTCAAGGTCACCCAGCAGGGCAGAGCCAGGAACAGGAGTCAGAACACCTGATTTCCAGGCCAGTGCTCTGACCACTAGGCCATGCTGCCTCTCTGCACCAGGAGCCAGCGTGACAAAGGTATTTAGGAACCTAGCGCTGCAGCCAGGCACATAGTGGGATTCAGTAGAGCTCCTAGGCAGGCTGGGCACCTGACTCCTGTTGGCAGCCAATGAGAGTTAGGCACCTCACTCCCTTGCGCACTCTGTCAGTCGCACGAGGGGCCCGTCTCCATCACTGAGCTCCTGAATCTGGCCCCAGGTGCTGAAGGACCCGGAGCAGGTGAGAAAGGGCAGCTCCTTCTCCATGCAGAGTGGGGCCAGACAGCCCCCAGCCCCCCGCCTGCCCTCATGTGTGAGCCGTGCCCTGCACAGGCGCTGGGAGGTCACCCGCTGGGACACCAGCTGTGGCCTGTGTCGCCTGAGGAGCCCTTAGTTGTCACCTCTGGGCCACACGCTGCTGCCTCCGGGGAAGTGGCACCGTCCAGTCCCCAGGAATTAGGGGAGCTGGGCTCCATCCACCCCCTGCTCCCTCACGGAGGCGCTTGGGGCAGCCAGTCCCCACCTGTCCAGCCCCCCTTGGCAATGGGCTCTGAGCTCTAGGGCTGACAATGCTATGTCAGAGCTGAGCCCACAGCCCAGGGCTCCAGTGACTTGGGGCTATTCACCCAAAACTCCCACAAACCCTTCCCCATCACATCCCTCCCCCATCTAACGCTGGGAACAGGCTGAGCCTTGGGGAGCCTGGGCCCAGCTGACGCCAGACAAGTCCCAGTGAGAAACAGGCCCCAATTTCTAGCCAGGCAGGTGATTAACACTGGGACAAACCACCCAGGGCAGGGGGGATTCTCCATCCCCTGATGGTGTCAGAGCCAGGCTGGAGCCTTCCTGGGAGAGGCTTTGGTCCCACACGAGGTATTGGCTAAATGCAGGGGGCTGGGGGAGTCTCTGGGCTGTCCAGGTCAGACTGGCTGAGCTAACATCCCTACTGGCCCTGGAAGCCAACGCACAGGGGCTGTTTGTGACCCGGTGTGGGGAGAGCCTGGCTGGCATGGGCCCAAAAACACAGGGCAAGTGTCAGAGACACAGGCTGGGAAATAGGCTGCGCTGCAGGGGCTTCATTGATCTCAGAGTGTCCCACCCTCTGCTGCGCCTGGACCCTGGGCTGAATCCTGCCTCCCTCCCCCAGCCCAACCCCCGGGCAGAATTAGACACTGCAGGACTAGAGAGCGACCAGGTGCTGCTCAGGAGAGCGAAGGGAGAGGAGAGTTGGTGCTGTGAGCTGCGGCTTCTGCTCAGCCACTCTCTGCACACCCAGTCCAGCTGCTCTGTGCAGAGAGGGAACCACAGGATGAGCTGACAGCGCCCTGAGCATGTGCAGAGTCCCCTGTGCAGACACCTCTTTCCCCGCCCAGCAGTGAGCTCTGCCCAGCCTGACGCCGAGCTAGCAGCCCAGCGGGGCGGCGGTGTCACAGGCTGTGATGTGGGATTGAAGAACCTCTCACACAGTGATATTTCTGGCCCAGCCGGTGTCTCTGTGGCTCTTTCTCTCCGTCTCTGACATTCTCCAGGGCAGCCTGACTCTGATGCCCAAGAGCCGGGGGTCTGAGCAGTGACAGAGCCGCCCTCACAGAGTGCGGGAAAGTGAGTGAGTCCCACTGGGCTCAGACCCCTGGGCATCTTCGGTTGTGATGGCACCTGAAAAGGATAAAACCATGAGGTGTTTGGGGTCTGTAAAGCACCAGGCCCACTCTGGCCATGAGAAGCTGATCCCTAACCCCAACAGGCTCATTGGGATTACCCCTGCATGGCAGCACCCTGGGGAATCTGCCACCCTCCCTCCTGCCCTGTGCCCTACACGAGGCCCCCTGCGACCTCTTAGGGGTTAACAGGCACTGGCCTGATGGGCTGTGAAAGCTTTTCCCCTCTGGCTGGGAGGATGCTGTGATCCGTGGTGACACCTGGAGGAGCCTCAAACCGCTGTTCTGGGGGGAGACATAGATCGGGGCAGGTGTACGTGGGCCTGGCGGGATGCGCACTCTAGGCTCTGTGTTGGCCATACTCCAGATCGATGGATACGGAGATCCCAGAGCTCCCGCTGGCTGAGTCTCAGAGACAGGCGAGGTCCTGCAGAGCCTCATTGGATGGTTCAGATGCTTCATCCCTCCTTCCCCCCCCCCGCCCCGCCCCGCCCCGCCCCACCCTGCCCCATAATGGCAGCACAGAGACATGGAGCCACCCCAGAGGCACGTGACCGGCAGGACCAGGGAACCAGAGGGGGCCTGTCACACAAAGGGAACCCCGTCCCCTCGGCCTCACTGCTGCAGCTGCCTTCAGCCCTGAAAATGAGAACAAGGAGGGGAAACAAAACCTGAAATTTCCAGGCGTTTTTGTTTTCAAAACCCGAATCGACACCAACTATTGCTCTGGGCTGGAATTGCCTGTCAAAATGTTAAAAATGTTTTCTCCAAAGAAAAGGAAAAATCCCAAAGACACACCCAATTTCTGAGAATTTGGGGGGCCTTTCAGCAAGGACAAGTCTTTGGAGCAGCTCTACCCATGGGCCCCCAGGGGCAGTGCCTGGGATATGCACGGGTGACCTTTGATATGGGCTGTACGGCGATGATGAGGCCTGGAAGGAGTTCTCCTTGGAGGGCAGATCTGGCCTGGAAGGGACTGGAGGAAGAGGGAGTAAAGTGGAAATGGGGCCTGGAGGGATCTCCGCAGCTCCGGGAATGGCCCCATTACAAATGCCTCTAGCTCGCACTGGTTTCATTTTGTCCCTCTGGTTGCTGGCTTTTGGCTGCAGTTCCTGGAAGCTCAGAATGGTCAAGCTCAGGCGATTCCTCTCCAGTGCCTGGCAAAACACCTCCGGGGCTGGGAGTAGCCAGAACAGAGTGTGCCAGGCTGGGGCATATTTCCTGTGCTATGAAGTATGGTTAACACCTCCCTGGGGTTCCCCTCCACCAGCTACAGGGAGGTAAAATAACCCGGCACCGAGGCGGCCTTGTCTCCACTGGGATCTGACGCTGAGAGCATTGCCTGGGCCCAGCCAGCTCATTGCACTTACACCTTTTACCGAGCGCGGACCCAGCGTTTGTGGGCGGCACTGCCCAGGGCTCCCAGCCCCCCATGAGCTGCTGGGTCCCATCACGCCCTGCACTAAACCAACAGCCAGGCCCTAGGGTTTAAATGCAGCACACCCAGCAGTTAAGCCAGACACGGCGCACAGGAGCATTGGGGTCACACTTTACAGCTCCACACCACAGCCATGGGCTAGAAACTGACTTTTTATTTGCTTTAAACAAAAGCTGAGATTCTCCCACAATCCCAGGGCTCCAGGAGCTGGGGCTTTAAGGGAAACAGCAAATACCATGAGACTTCACAACACTGCAGCTGGCAGCCTGTTCCCCTCCTGCACCCCAGCCCCCTCACTACAATTTCCAAAATCATCTGAACTTCCCCACATCCTTGTTCCACGAGAAGCTTCTGCAGCATCGTCCATCATCCCTGCTGCCCCGTGAGACCAGCCAGCCCTGCCAGAGCCCAGGGGAGGGCTCCAGCAGTTGGGAGGCGGGTTCAGCCTTCAGGGTGCTGCTCAGCCCTCAGGGTGCTATCGCAATCCAGTCTGACAACAGAGGGCCTGATCCTGTCACCCACTCGCACTGCCTGAGCAAGGCCGGATTAACTCTCCTGTGTGCCCAGGGCTATTAGATTTTGTGGGGCCCCTGTATACAAGTATTTTTCCTGGGAGGGAGTTTGGTACGGGAGGGGACTGCGGCAGGGGATTGGGGTACAAGAGGGGGTGCAGGGTCTGGGAGGGAGTTTGGGTGCAGGAGGGGGCACCGGGCTGGGGCAGGGGGTTGGGGTGCAGGAGAGGATGAAGGGTGTGGGATCTGGGAGGGAGTTTGGTACAGGAGGGGACTGGGGCAGGGGATTGGGGTGCAGGAGGGGGTGTGAGGTGTAGGCTCCGTCTGGGAGGCACTTACCACAGACGGCTCCTGGCTGGAAGCACGGCAGGCTCAGGCAGGCTGCCTGCTTGCCATAGTCCCCACACCGCTCCCAGAAGCGGCTGGCTGCTGGTACGTCTCTGTGCGCCCCTCGGGGGAGGGGGACAGCGTGTCTCCTTGTGCTGCCCACACCCGCAAGCGCTGTCCCCATAGCTCCCATTGGCCGGGGGCAGCGCGAGGGCAGCGAGTGGAGCCGCCTCCCCCTCCCCCCCTGGCCAGGGGCCTCAGAGACGTGCCAGCAGCAGAGCGGCGTGGGGCCAGGGCAGGCAGCCTGAGCGCCCCAGAGATCGCTCCCTGTGATTTATTTTTGCGGGGTCCCCCTTGAGCCGGGGCTCCGGGCTGCAGCCCCTAAAGCCCCTGCCTTGTGCCTGAGGCTGGCAGGAGCAGCGTGTGTGTGTCTGCAATGGGAGTGAGTCAGTGTCACTGCGAGACCCTTCCCCTCTGCATCCTCCGACCCGTGTGTATTGAATTTCCTACATATAACAGTTGCGTTAACGCAGTTCCCTCCAATCAGCACATTCCGATGTAACTGGGGGTTGGTCAAAGCGTTATCATGAATCGCTGCGGTTTTCCTTTGAGTTTGGGGGGAGAAAACTTCTGACATGTCGCCATTTCCCCACGTTCCCTGTGGGGCGAGGTTCTTTCCCAGATGTCGGCGCTTGGGTTGATTCCCCCATCTTATTTCCTGGCCCTGGTATCCCTGGAACAAGAGTCAGCTCCAGAGGGAGTCAAGTACTGAGCATTTTTCTCTGTGTGATTCCCTTTGCCCCACGGGAGAGGTTCAGACCTCAGGATTTTGATGTTTCTTTTCCCCCTTCTCTTTGGGGGTTGTTTCCAGTTGTGGATGCTCCTGCTCTGTTTTATGCCCCTTTCACTACTTGGAGAACCAGCTGGTGGTCAGGAGCTTTCGGGCAGTTTCTATCATAGTTTGCCCTGCGCTGTTTTCTTTCTCTTGCTTGTCTCCAGGGGCTGGGGCTGTTTCTCCTGTTGCAGGTGGCCCTGTCTTGTTTCCTGCCCCTGGATCTCCCTGACTAACAGACCCAATAACCATTAATTCCTGGTGGAAATCCCAGTCGCTGGGGGGGCAGATGCTGAGGGGTTTCCCCTGGTCCCTCCCTGCAGCATGACCAGGGCTGAGGAACGGGAACAATCTCTCAGAAGCTTCCACAGGAATCTCCAGGATAAGGGCCATTGCACTGACACTATAAAACGAGAGACTCCCCCCTTCTAGATCTAGATACACCCCAACCACTGTCAGCTTCCCATCCCACTTCTGGATCACAGTGTCGGCCTCACTGGGGTGATACTGCTCCCCAGATCTCCCCAGAGCCCAGCACCCCGCCTCAGGGAGTCTCTCCAGCCTCTCCTGTCTCACTCTGTCCCTCACAGACTCACTCAGCACCCCCAGCTCCCAGTCCCGGCTGCCCCCCACCTCCACCTCCCAGTACCCCCTGCAAATTCCACCACCGCCACTGTGATCCTTCCTGGCCACAAACCCCTCCCTCCCCATGGCGATCAGAGCCCCAGAGGGGGCAGCCGGCCCTAGGGCTGGGGGGTTGTGCTGGACTGTTCTGCCATCTGCAGACGCGGTGAGTTCGGGGTGTTTGTAATCTGGATCCAGGGTGACATGGACTGGGGAGAAAAAACAGAGTAACCCCATTAGCCACAGGTCAGCCAGGGACCCTACGATCCCACAGGAGAGATTCCAGCCAGCACAGCTGGAGCGAAGGACAGAGTGTTAAGGGTTGAGGTGACTAGTTGGAGCTCCAGGCTGTGGCTGGGCCTGGTCCCTGAGCTGGTGGAGAGGTGGGGGGAGGGGCAGTGGGGGTTGGGCTCCTTGCATCTTCTCACTCCCCCCTGCACAGGATCTGTCCCTGGGAGGCATTAGGGCTCTGGGGGTACATGGAAGGTGTCCAGGGGGTGAAGACTCTGCAGGCTGCAGAGGGAGGGCTGAGTGGGGCTGTTGGGGGAGCTGACGGGGTATGGATGGATCATCGCTGAAGCGCCAATGGGAGACGGGGTGTGTGTGTCAGGACTAGCTGAGGGGGGGATTGTGAGGGAGCTGCCCGGAGATGAGATTTACAGCTCAGGGCAGCGTGTTCAGGACCATACATGGCATCCAGCCCCACGGCTCTGCAGCCAGTGCCCGCCCTGCCCCACCTGCCCCATGGGGACCCCACACATCTGATAGCTCAGCTACCTAACGCCTATACCACTAACCCCAGTGCAGCATCTGCTCAGCCCCTCCCAGCCCCACTCACCCATGTAGCTCCGAGCCCTCCTGAACTCTGCAAGGGAAGAGGAACAAACATGGTCAGGGGCCCGGCAAACGCAGAGAACTCGCTCCCACAGGAGATGCGGTTCTGGGAGAGGGTCATTGGCAAATAGAAAGGAACTGAGTGATGTGAAATGTGACATGGAAACACAACCTCTTACCTCGCTCTGCGACCGCCTTGTCTGAAATGGAAAGAGACAGAATTATTCCGTGTCATTTAGGCAGAAGGCTCAGTTTTGGGAGCTGCTGTGGAGTGATCGCTTTACATGTGGTTCATGGGCACTCACTGCTGAAGGAGAAATGTCCCAGCTGTGTGAAGTGAGAGACAGGCCCTTTCACCCCAGAGATCTCTGCTGACAGCAACGACCAGCTCTCGGGGATGCCTTTATATTGTTTCTTAGTATCAGGGACTGGAGCGAATGTTGCTCTCAGTGACACTGCTGTAAATCCATAACTCCAGATGCTTCACTGGGGTGAATCTGGATTGACACCAGTGTCACCCAGAGCACAATCCAGGCCTGTAAGAAGCTGCTGTTTGGTTGTTGAGGCCCCCAGCAGACTGGGGGATTTTGAAGGGACACTGACAGGATAAAAATCAGGCTGGGATTTGCAAAACATTTAACTTAGATGGAACATGCATGTCTGGATCTATGCAGTTCTGACATTCTCAACCCTTCCGTCTAAAGAGAATTACTAATAACCCTTTGGAGCAACAAAGCGACACACTCCAAGTGTAACCGGGTGTGGAAGCAGAAAAAGAACTGTCAGAAAAGAACTGCAATGCATGACAGTTTGTTAGCAAGAGTCAGGCTAACTGTAGCCCTAATAACGCGAGATTTGTAGAAGCGAGGATTGTGTGAGATGGGTGAGAAAGAACTGTGTGAGAAGTTATTGCGACCTTGTGTAGATAATATGGAATGTAGACTAAGAGTCTACATTAGTGAGCAAAACAAGATATCAGAATGACCTATGTATAAACAAAATGCAGTTGTTGCTCATTATTGTCTGTAACAAAAGGTATAAATGCTTGCTGTAATTGTTTACTGTTGAGAGAGACCTGCTTAGCTCTCTCCCTCTGCACAATTGTGAGAGTTAATAAAGCATCTGACATGCTGTACCCAAACAAAAAGTGAGAACTCAGTTTTTCTCCGACAATTTGGGGGCTCGTCCGGGATGGCAACGCCCGCAGAGGCACCGGCAATTGCTACGGATCGTTCCCCTTCGAACCCCATGGCGCCACAATAGAGGTAGGAGACCTTTTGAAATCTCTATTGGGGTGTCGGAGGAGGACTGTCCGTGGGGCCGTCTGTCCCTGTTGGGCTTACGCCATCCGAACTTATTGACTGTGCAGCAAGGTCAGATGCTGAGCGGCGTAGGGGAATTGTTTGCCGCCCCCTGTATGCATATGCGAGGTGCATAGGTTTGCACCTGTGTTGAGGGGTTGTTACTGCCTCAGCAGGAGGGGTTTTTACCGTCTCATAGTCCGGACAGAGGGGTTGTTTACCGCCTCAAGAGGGGTTTTTACCGCCTCGAGTGATGCATCGAGGTACTTGGGAATAGTACCTGAGGTACTTGGGAATAGTACCTGGAGTAAGGCCTTGGTGTGTGTGTGGTGTGTGTGTGTGTGTGTACACCAGTGTGAATTGAGTGTTACCGGAAGACGCCCAGAGTACTCTGCGAAGTCTTTTGGCTCGTGACCAGAACTACTCTAACGCAAGCCCGGTAACTAGAGGATCTTTTAGGAGATCCGACCCACGGTACGCTAACTCGGCCTGGCATCGTCCGGCGAGGAGGCTACCTGGGTCTAGGAGTGTGTGAACCCATCTTCCCTCCCCTTTTTCCACTCCGTGTGAGCCACTGACAGTCTGACCATCTCACTGGATGCAACAGAGTACGCGGCACCGTCTCTCTGGATTAGCCGACGCTCTTTGCTGAAGGGAGGTGTAGGAGGTCATGGTTACCCTCGTTAGTCTCTCCTGTGTGAATACCCTGTAGGGAGAGATCCTTAGTTTATGTGCCGCTAGCGCGGATAGGGCATCCTCCTCCCTGTGTGTGTGATTGGAAAATGGGTGGGGGACAGTCTAAGGATTCCCTCTCACCCCCTAAGGGTACCCCAGCTTATTTCATGTACGTACATTATGGTCCTAAAACCTGCAGGTATTTAGAGAATTGGAATCATTACACGCGTGAAAATTCATCTAAACAATGCCCACTAGAAGGTACCTTCAATCTAGATAAGATCATACATCTCAGAGGAGCTTTTAATCACCAAAAAGCCTCTGACACACAATGGGAGCAATTTGTCTATTGAGGAAAGGAACGGGTTAATTTGAAATTCAGCTTGGTCCAGAGATAAAGAGAAAGTTAATCTGCGTTCAAGGTCAAGAATCAATGCAGACCAGGCTAAGTACAAAGAAAACTGCTTTCGGCCCCAGCTGGCTGTGAAAAAATATAGACATAGTCAAACCAAAGGCAATACAAGTTACAGTGCTGAGATTACATTTGCAAAGCTTAACTGTCCAGTGAGATCCAACAGTCTGCCTTTGCGACCCCGGAGCCGGCGTGGTTTGGGGACGCTGAAGAAGCCACAGGCAGCCGGCCTGGACTGGAATCACTGAAAAGACGCCCCAGGAGACCTCAGGGTGTAAAAGAACTGCCCTCCCAAGAGAGGAAGCAAGTTGGAGATTGCACAGCGCCTTCTCTCAACGTTATACACAGATGTGGCCAGTCTGGACGTACGTGTGTGAGTATGAAAGTGTGCCCACTCTCAGCCGCAGTAAGTCTGAGAGCCGGAGAGGGATTTAGCATTCCTCTCTCCACCCCGGTTGACCGGGAAGGGTGTCAGGTGGATCTACCCCAGTCGTAGCAGGACTGGGCAATAGAGAAGTTGGAGAAATAGGAAGAGTTGTGTACTTGATAACTAGAATTGAGCAATTAAGAGCATAGATCATGAACCAGGCAGCAACTCAAACCTACGCCCAGGGCAAGTTGCAAGCCTTGAGACAGGACTTCCAGGCAGAAAAGGAAGCACTGGCTAAGCAAGTACCGGTCCTTCAGGGACTTGTCAGAATTTAACCATTTGTGTTTGCATATGCTGTAAGAGCAGTGTGTTTGCCACAAGAGAAAATTGAATAGTTAAACGCCAATGGGCCATGCGTTTTGCCCAAGTGGCAAGCCTCACGAGGGAGGACTCGGGTAGCCTTGTGAGTAAGAATGTTTAAGAGAAGAGACCAGGAAGGGTGGGGGCTAGTTGAGAAGCCCACCCTCCTATCTAAATTGGTAGTGAAAAAGCCGGTGCCCATGGAAGGGACGGTTCAGCGAGAAAAGCAGGATCGGGCCCAAGCGAGCAGGCAACAGATAGAGAGATTGGAAAACAGGTTGGAAATTTTGAGGGCATAGTGGAAGGAAAAGAGTAAGTAATTATAAGCATGGGGATTTCAAATCCCCAGGACAATAATTGGAATGGTAAAATCTGAGTTGATTGGGTGTCGTTTTGGGAGACAAGCAAGTGATTTAAGAAAAGAGAGTGAGAAGTTAACTCTGTAGTTGCTAGAGGGAATCAAGCAGTGAAACTTGGTAGGAATATTTGTAAGTAATTCAGGCAAGAGGTTATTTAAGTGAAATTATTCGACTATGAATACGTTAGTCTAATTTGCTGAAGAACACTCCTGCTGTGTACAATCTGTGTTTTATAAGTTTGAGATGAATTGGTATTGTTTTAACGTTGCAAAACTGAGAATACTTTTGCCAGACACAGGAAACTAGTGTTGTTTAAGGTATTTAGCATTTAATCCTTAAGGTGACTTAATGCTTTACAAGATTTAAAATGTTTTAACTAAAGACCAAAGGTTGTGGCTGCAGCAGGGTAGTCAAAGCCAGGAAAATAAAAGATTTGAATTTGTTTTTGGGTAACAAAATAGCAGATAAAAGATCTGGTAAAAAGAGAGAGAAGGACAGTGCCCCTGGCTCTGTGTGGTCGAGCTGTCACTTTACTAGGGGTGCATGGAGATTTTGTAAGCACAAAAGAAACAGTTACACCTTGTGTAGAAATTGATGTGGCTAGTGTTGTGGAAATTGAATTGTGGAGAGGATGTGCATTTTCCCCAGAACATGTGCAGTGTATATTGTAGCAGAGGTAAAAGAAATGCAAACCTACCAATATAGGTTGTGTTGTCTTTTTCAGATCACTGTGTGTTTGAAAGCAGAAGTTAGAAGTAAAAGGCAATCAAAAGTCTGGGAAAGTTAATTGTGTCCCTTTTAAAGTAAGAATCTTTAAGCTGTGGATAGCTTTGGATCTGGAAGCAAGCCAGAAAGCATCTGTATTAATGCAATTTTCTAACTAATAAGGTAGAAGCCACTGAAACCTGGGCTGCCTATGAAACAAATACAAGGAAATATGGGGTAATTCCTCTGTTTTGCCTGAAATCAACAAGAGTATGTGTATATAAAGGAAATATATTAAGCAATGACTGACTACCCAGAAGGGGTAGACCTCTGTTCTTTTGTCTTTCAGATCATCAGAGAAAACGGATGCCAGCTGAACAGCATTCAATGTACCATGCATTTACTGGTACAATAGGAATTATTTTTGTGTTCTTTGTCCTGTCTTGTGGTGTTTGTCTTGTGGCCAGAATTGTTGGGTTTAATATTTTCATAAGACAGTCTAGTTCAAAATTAAATAGAAGGGTTAAATCAAAAAGCAGATACTTGTTTTATTCAACTTGGAATACAAAGTGTTTGGATAAATCAGGAAAACGTGATATACTAAAGTCTAATACATTTGCTTAAGTAAGAAAAAGAAACTTCATTGGCCAGATTTTTAATTGAAAAATTGTTGTTAAAATTTGCATACCAACAGTCTTTGGAAGCAAGGACATGGAAGGTTAACCCACTCCCCATATTGCCCATGGGATCCTTCTGGCTACCTCAGATTTCTAGCCAGAGGGCTGGGGAGGGAGGAAAGCGATTGGACGCCAGAGGTTGTACCGAGTGAACTCCTCAAAAGTGGGTGTGCTTGTCCCGGTTTGTTGCTCCAAAGCTCTGTAATAAAGTAATTTTACTGGAAGAGTGTACATGGCATACCTTGAATAATAAGACTAATGTGAAAAAGTGTATAAGTGAAGAGTGAAAGTTTCCTTTGTAGGTTAAAAGAAGCCGAGAAAGGGAGAAGAGGAAAAAGCAC